TTTTACTAAAAAACAAAAAGAAAATTCTGCACGCTACCAATACTTGCAAAAGTACAAAAGCAGTTTTATTGATAGTTTTATTGGTTGTCAATAAAACTGCTTTTGTACTTTTGCAAGTATTGGTAGTGTGCGGAATCTTCTTTTTGTTTTTTAGTTTTTTGACTTTTTCTTTTTATCCTACACACCTGTCTATTATCTGCAGGTGTGCAATGATTGATTGCGAATTGAAAATATATATTAAAAATACAGTATAAATATATATATTTTTAAAAAGCATTTCAAAATAAATTTCGCCCTCCATATATTCCCGCGCAAGAAAATACATTAATACATCACATTTGTTTTGATTTAAAAAACTTTATTTGTTGTCTATAACACGTATGAACATATTGAACATAACCATTATTAATCTAGCTAATTCCATCCACATTTGCTGTTAATGTAGGCTACTGTAAAATTGTAAATGTATTTTTTTTGCTCCTGAAATACATTTTGAAATATATTTTGGTATATGCATGCATTTCATACATTTCAAAAATATATTTCATTGAGCTTCACATGGTGCTTGCACACATCAAGACTTATTTATGAAATTAATTTCAGTGTAAATCCTTCCTAAAACCATTGGGATTCATCTTTGTAAATTGTTCATAAAACTATTCTTACCTTAATGCATCCGTTTAATCAAGAACTAACGTATGAATGATCTTTATCAGATGGCACCCAATCAGAGCAGTTTGTTTAGCTGTAGATTCGCTCTAGAGCTGTTTATAATTGGACTGTATTGTGGAATGAGGGAAAGGCCTGTCCTTTAAGCTGATGAAAGCATGCTCATTAAGCTGTGTGTGGTTGGCCACATGTCATGATTAGCTCTGTTTCACTCGTGTTTAACACTGTGGGATTTTCCAGCGAGCTCCTGAGCGTCTGATCATAGTCCACATGCTAAAGTTCATTTGCATTTCAGCTCTCTGCTAGTCATCAGCTTAAGAGGGTCTTGTGTTCGCATTATTGCTCATCAGGAGTTTTTTGTGTCTTTGATGACTGTATAGAATGGGGTTTGACATTAAAGCCCATCAGCAATTTTTAGACACTTTTGTACCACTTTATATTTGTCAAGTTGCTTCTGAAATCACATTTAGTCATTTAGCAGACGCTTTTATCCAAAGCCACTTACAAATGCAAGCAATCGAAATAATATGCAAGTGCTGTGACAATTTTTTTTATAATAAATAAAAAGCAAACAAGTAGATAGAATAGAAAAAGAACAGAGAACACTAGTGTTAGAGGGTCAAGTGTTTCATTTAAAATAATTATTAATCAAATTAATATCTGCCAGTACTGTTATCAAAATCATATCGGCACAAATGCAATCAAACAATTATGATGCACTATTTAAATTAAATTATTTAAATGCTTTGCATTTATACCTAATGATTGTTGTAGGCATGCTTCGTTTGATTTATACTGAATTTGGTTACACTTTATTTTAAAGTGTCCTTGTTACAGTGTAATTGTACATGTAAGTACTGAGTGATATTAATTAACTACATGTGCTTACTATATGGTTACTTGCATGTAATTATGCATAATTTGTTGTTATTATAATAGTAAGTACAAGTAACATGTGTAACAAGGACACCTTAAAATAAAGTGTTACCCTGAATTTATACTAAATGCAAACATTTATTATCATAGCAAAAACGTAATGAGAACTATTGATATACATAATTGCAAAAAGTGAGAATTTGCATTAAAATTCAGGCAGAAAATTAGCTTATTTTTCATTAAAGAAAAAAAATGTCAGTGATGCAAAATGAGAAAAAAATCCCAATGATCCTAAAAAAGCTTCATTTCCTTCATGCACGGTGTTTTCTCTTCTTTTGATAATCGTAATTTGGGGTGAACGTTTTTGTGAGTTTCACCCCCTAACTAAAATGCAATTGTTAATTATTCTGTGTATCGTCTCTCTGGCTGCAGAACTGCAGGGCTTCATTCACCACGGCCGTCCCATGCCGCGCTCTCAGGTGGTGCTGTGTTTCGGAGACGAGTTTCCAGACCCTCAAAGGCAGAGCAAAATGATCACAGCTCACGTAAAATCAGCCTCTCCGCAGCTTGACACACCATCTATATCATTATAACGTTAATGTACTAGCATGCATTCAGTAAATGCATATTTCTGTGCTCAGATGCAATAATCCATTAGTTAGAATTCACCAACTGCGCTTTGAAATGTCAGGGAAATGTGAGTTAAACGACAGCGTGTCTGCTTTCGCAGGTGGAGCCCATGTTTGCCCGACAGCTCCTGTATTTTGCAGGCCAGACCAACGGGCACTACTTGCGCGGATATGAGCTTCAGAGTCCAGGTGCTTTACCTGTAGAAGAGTATCAGAGAAGCATCCAGCACTTGCAGGAGTAACAAGCTTCAGCTGAGATACTGCACAGCCCAGCCGCTCGCACTGTATCTGCTCTACAGCCAGCGGAGGCTAGTGAAAGCCAATGGAGCATCATTGACATCGTAATGAAGACTTGAAATCACATTGCGATTACCTGACCAAGTGCCCACTTACACATCCCAAAAGCTACAAACTCTTCGGACACCATACAGTATTGGATGCAGTCTTTTTGTATGAAAAGGGTTCATGAATTATGTCTCAGTGAGTCTGAGAACACATGGAAAAATGTTGGTTTGTTTCATGTCAGCTCCTTTTCTGCTGCAAACACAAGCAAAACACAAACCACGTGCTAAAACAGTGTCAAGTTCATTTCAATTCAACGTTTCACTCACGTTGTGCTGATAATGTGTAGTGGCAAATTATGCAAAGCAGAAGTGTACTCAGATTTCTGGACTCCCAAATATTTCATATGGACATTTGAGAAAGAAGCTAACCAAAAACAAAACTACAATCTAACTATTTTTCCCATAGGAATTGTTTGTTAGTGGGACACATATTTTTGATACGTCGATGTATAGTTGCATAGACTTTCTATTACTGGTCTATATTGCTCTGCTTTTCTAACACAATCCTCTTTTTTCTCATTGTTTTCGGCGCCGTGTGAGTATTTATATTGTATGCATGTAGGTTTCTATATGCACAGCCGAATGTACTGTATAGCTGTATAGATATCTTGAATGTAATCAAAGTAATTATTTCTCTGAATGGCATCTGACAAGAAGTTATATAATGCTAAATACTAAGAAACAGTTTGTGGTTGGTTGTGTGTGTGTGTGTGTGTGTGTGTGATTGTTATCTGCTTTCAAGTAAAGATGTGTGAGTGTGTGTGTGTGTGTGTGTGAGTGAGTGAGTGTGTGTTCACGTGTTGAGTGCTGATAGGAACGCAATAGAGCAGGTAACTGCCCACAAAACTGTGATTATGTCAGATGTGTGAATGAAAGAGGCATGAAGAGAAAGACCTTTTCAAATTTTTTTCCCTCTCTTTCTCAGAACCGTTGTTTTTGTTTTTTGTATTTTGTGTTGTTTTGTCTATTTTATTTCAAATCTGTGCATTTTTCAAAGTCAAGTCAAATAAAGATATTTTTCTTATGATCCTGGTTTTGTCCTGTATATTGTTTGTTTCTGCTTGGCTTTCAGAAATTTGCAGATTTTAATGCACATTAAAAGTTATTTCTGACTTCACTTGTATAAATGAGTTTGTAATATCTGTTGTCATATAATGTAATATAATTGACTAGGAATATGAGGACATTTGGTTAAAACAAGAAGTCATTTCGGCTCCATCAGTGGCACCAAAAAGAACTGTTTTCAAACCAGTTTCCCAACCACTGCCATTGGTCAGGCAAGCAGATGGCCCAGCCCCCAAACTCACGCCATTGGTTGAGTCAGTGTTGTTGTGATCAGGGTGCTCAAACAAACAAGCATGAACAACAACGCCACTCGCTGCTTTACTACCACATTATGATGCATTGGTGTATAAACTAACTAGTTAGTCACGATATAGGAATTTTAGCCACCGTCTATCCTTTAGACCACACCTAATCCGAGACCAATACCAAACCAGCACTCTTGAAATTCATCTGAAAGATCTATATTAACTGCCTGAAAAAAATCCAATATTTAATCAATAAATACAATCAGAATAATAAGACACTATATAGAGCTGTTAGCAATCAAATGAAATCAATAACGACAAAATTCATCATTGCACTGCACAGAAGCTGCATCTGAACTGATACAATTACAAGTGCATAAATATTGTTGAGAGTAATTAAAAAAAAAAAAATGTTGAATATAGAAATATTATGAATAGATCAATTGAATATGAATGTCAAACTAAAACCACCAGTTGGTGGCAAATCACTCAATGTGTGAGTCGCTGAATTATTTATTCAACCAACTGGTTCAAATCAAAGCAACTCATTTATTCAGTATTGAATCACTGCTATGTGTTGCTCAGAAATGCAACAGATGCTATGGATTGCTGAACTTTGTTTGGAACTATTTTCGTTGCTGAAATAGCTAAATAAAAATTTAATTGTGTCTAAAATGCAATTCACCTAATACTTGTTGTTTGTTTAAGGTTTGCATAAAATCAATATCACGTTTTGCAATCCTGCTCATATTCATGAAAACAGCTCTTTTGCTCTTGTGATATTGCTTAATTTTATGTAATAGGAAAAACAAGACCTCAAGTACTTTTTTTGCAATCATATCTTGAATTATTATTATTATTATTTATTTATTTTGGTCATTCTTATTAATTTTGGTGAAATTTTTGAAAATTCCCCATTAAATTCTGCGCAATTTGGGCACATCGGTATCAAAATACATCAAATTAGAAATAAGTTATTGATTGCATTTAAAGCAGGAAGTTTTACATCATCACATTAATGATGTTAACAAATAATTCAGACAGTGCACTGGCAATATAGTGACATCCCTGCATTTGTGGTCTTGAAATAAAATCCCGAGTCCTTTTAGTCTGAGATCAAGACAAGACCAAGACCTTCAAAAAATGGTCTTAAGACCGGTCTCAAGTATGACAACTGTCCATATTGACATTAAGCAGGTGGTGGAGTGCTAGCTTAAGCTAATTAATCAGTTTGAGATCAAATTAATGTCAGATTACTGCTGTAAATAACAGACATGGCATCTGAGGACTGCTTCGCCATTTTTGTTCTCCGTTATTTCGCAGGTTTCCTTACATCAGAATGAAATTTGTATATGTATGGAATGAAAGAAGATTGCTTAGTTTTGCTCAAGTGCATGATCCACTTAAGTCCACATCTCATACTGACAAGAAACGATGCTTCTCACCACACACGTTTGCAATGCTGTAATGGAACTGTGGATTAAAAAAACACCGAATCGTTTAACTATGTTGGTGACAATAAACCTTGGGACCACAACTGGCTAAAGATGCTTTTGGGAAACGCACCCATGAGCAATGTTTTGATAGCGCCATGCTAGTGTGACCCGCTTAAATTTCATGAACGAAATTAATTTCTTGACACAAAATGCTGCATTTCAAAACGCTTGCATAATTACACTCAAATATACGCAGATACAAAACCAGTTTTTAAAAACCATAATTTTTTTCTACTGAAATGTATAGCCATCATCCTTTGTGCACAAAATTAACACGTACGTCTGCAAGATGTCTGTTAAAGATCGCTTGATCTGGAAAGCATCTGCTGTGTTCATCTGTAAGATGTCAGTTTTACATGCATTCTAAATCATAAACATCTTAAAGACATTTAATAAACGTCTATTTGACATCTGATAGGAAACGTCCTGTAGACGTATTGCAGATGAGCAAACACTCTAAAAATACGTCTTGCAGATGTAAATGCAGACGTCTCCGTGATGTATGTGTGCTATCAGGGAAGTACACTGCATTTCATGGACATATTGGTGACTGTTTCATTTTTGCGTATAACAGAAAACATCTTTCGTGGACAAAATCCTCCCAGCATTTCACAAAATGCATTTTGTGAACAAAATAATAATTCCGTCAATGAATTTTAATATTTCACCCACAAAAGGGAATCGTGAATGCATTTTTTTGCATTTTGCATCAGTGTTTGCATAAAATGATGTTTCAGTAGACAAAATGCAACTGGCTTTTGTCTTTCCTGCGTACATGCATTAAATGCATGAATGCATAACAGCCGAAATTAATTTTCGTCCACAAAATTTGTCAGGTCACACTTGGCGAAACCATATAGTGTGTATGGTTGTGTTTTGATATTGCAGGCGTATATGCGTGTTGTGCTGCTGTCTAGCTGGCTTTTAGTTACACTTGAGCGAGAGCAGAGTGGTTTTAGGGGACAGTGTGAGTGCAGAGAGAAAGACACAGGAAGCTCGATTCACAGGTGCACAGGAAGACTAGCCCACAAGAAAAACAATGAGACGAAGAGAAGCGGGTGGGGGGCTCTGCACATTTACATATATCTGTTCTACTGGATTATACACCAACACACAAATTCATCTGCACCTTCCTGTTGCAGTCATTAACATCATTTACTAAAGCTTTCAATTGTTTTTTTCCTTTCTGATATGAGCCGTGTACTGTATACAAATGTCTACCCATTCACATTTAAAATATACTATTGCTGTGCTAAAGTGAACATGAAACCGGTTCAGTTTACTTTCTTACTATACACTCATGACTTCAATGTTGAATTATCGACACAGTCTCACCACAGTTCATAATGATTTTAAAGTGATTGATTCATAAAGATTAATCTTTAATGAGCCGAAAAGAACACGTCACACCTCTGTTCATCTTCAGCTGTCTGGCTAGATTTAGGGATGGACTATAAAAAGGAATCTGTAAAAACAGGGCACAATGTACTGTATTAAAATGAAGGGATTTTTTTGTATTGATTTTTTGTAGTTATTTTGCACTTAACTGTATTGTGTTTACAGTTAATGGAAATGTTCATAAAATTAATGGATAATGTACTGGCAGAAAACATTTTCACCTTTTTTGTTTGTTTGTTTTTCATTCTTACATTTTTAATACAAATTTTAAATTTTCATACAAATAATATCTTATGAAATTATACAGAATTGCGTAAAAAATTATGTTTTCCTGGATGGAACACACACGCACACACCTCTCTCCTCTCTCTCACACACACACACACACACACACTCACACACACGCACGCACGCACGCACGCACACACACACACAGTCTTCATAATCTTTTACCCAATTGTAATAATTTGTTTGCCTCTGAAACAGTTTCCTTTTTATTTCTCAACCAAATAGAGACTTTCCTTTCTTTCAACCAAATTATTTCAACCAAACAGAGACTTTCTTTTTTCTTTCTTTCTTTCTTTCTTTCTCAAATCCAACCAATTCTTTATGGATAAACCGTGAGTGTAATTTAGAGCGGTCTTGAATTTGAACGTCCTGAATCTTCTATCTGAGCTATATCTGGGACGTATAAATGTCACTGGTTGAGAGGATGTTAAAGGGCAGAGGGGGAATCCTTGTTTTATCTGCATGGTTCTCTCTGTCAGGCTTGACTGAGCTGAATAGTTCCACTAGAGACGGCACTCGTCTGCACCATCAGCCCACACACTGAACTGAAGCCCACATCTGCAGCCTGTATTAGCAAATAATCCAGACAAAGCATTTCACAGAAACTTTCTCAGTGCCACAAAATATTACTCCTCCGACTCTTGGCTCTTTCTCAGAAGAAAGTCTTCAAAAATGAGATACAAGTATCTAGAAGTGAAGGGGTTGGTTTTAAGGCTGCACTACCTTGAGAAGGTCAAAAATGGCATAACGTTAAATATCAGGGATTAACCCTATCATAGCTGTTGCTGATTTTGTTCCTGACAAATTCTCACTAATTACATAATTCACCTGGGACGTCCCCAAATACTGTAAAGATACACGCAGGCGTTCTTGGTGGTACGTGTTCTTATACTCTCCTGATGTTTAACCTTTGCATGCACGTCGATCCCAAGAGTCAAAAATGCAAATGAGAGGCTAAATAGATTGGTTTTTCAAATTAAATTTCTGTCAAGGTTGTAACAGCTAGGGCTTATTTTATGCAACAACTCACAATCCTAAAAAGTCTTAAATTCTTCACTTTCAAAAGTTAAATGTTCAAGTTTTATTTTGGCAGAGACCTTTCTGTCTGTGTTTAGTATAAAAGTAAATTTGCAAAAAGAAACATTGAAGCATGTCTCAAAATTTCTTTTATGCTCCTCAGAAGAAAGTAAAAGACTAGGATTGTCGTTTTTGCTTGAACTGTTTCTTCGAGGTCATAACCCAGTATTTTGC